ATAAAAATATCTGTGGGGGGCTGGGGATTTAGCTCAGTGGCACCCGTGCCTACCTCACAAGCACAAGGTCCCAAGTTCGATCCCTGGTAAATATATATACATATATATATATATGTATATATATATAAAAATAAGTATAATATATCACATAATAAGAAGGACAAAAATTATCAATAGACGCAGAAAAAGCCTCTGACAAAATCCAACAACTATTCATGATAAAAATCCTGAAGAAAACAGTTATAGAAGGACCATATCTCAATCTGATATAAGCCATTTATGGCAAACTAATGACCAACAACATATTGAAGGGAGAAAGGCTGAAAGCTTTCCCTCTAAAATCAGAAACAAGACAAGGATGTCCACTATCACCACTCCTGTTCAACGGAGCACTTTACACATCAGTCAGAGCAATCAAGCAGGAGAAAGAAACAAAACATATAGGAAAGGAAAAAGTCAAATTATTCATTACAGATGACAGGAACATCTACACAGAAGACCCAAAAGAGTTCCACCAAAAGACTCCTAGAGTTAATAACCAAATTCAGTAGTAGCAGGATACAAAAATCAATAGCGTTCCTGTACAATGTACACTAAGAATGAACCCACTGATAAAGAAATTTTTTAAAATACCATTCACAATAGCATGAAGAAAAAAACTAAATACTTAGTAATTAAAGCAAGGAAGTAAAAGATCACTACAACAAAAACTACAATATTCTGAACAAGGAGTTCAAAGAGGACATTAGAAAAGGGAAAGACATCCCCTATTCCTAGATAGACAGAACCAACATTGTCAAAATGGCCATACTTGGACTGGGGATTTAGCTCAGTGGTTCTGCCTCCTACCTTGCAAGAGCAAGGTCCCGAGTTCAATCCCTGGTACCAAAAAACAAACAAACAAACAAAAACAAACAAAATGGCCATACTTCCAAAATTGATATGTGGATTTAATGTATTCCCAAGCAAAATACCAATATCATTCCTTATAGAACTACAGAAAACAGTTCTAAAATCCTATGGAAGCAGAAGACACTCTGAATATCAAAAGCAATTCTAGATAACAAGAGCAAAGCAGGAGGCTTTCACAATTCTGGATTTCAAGTCATATTACAAAGGTGTTTATAAAAACGGCATGATAGTGGCACAAAAACAGACATCTGGATCAATGGGACAGAACAGAACATGCAGAAACAACCCCAAGCACATTCAGCCATGGGATCTTTGACAAAAGAGACCAAAACCATACACAAGAGAAAAGATACCCTCTTTAGCAAACCATGCTGGGAAAACTGGCTGTTCACATGCAGATAATTAAAGTGAGACCATATCTCTCACTATGGACTAAACTAAAATTAAAATGATTCAAATATCTAAATATTAAAAACAAACAATCTGCTGGAAGATAAAATAGGTAAAATTCTTGAAGTCATAGGCGTAGGCAAGGACTTTCTGAACAGAACCTCAGTTGCACGAGAAATAACATCAAAAGTCAAATGGAATAGAAACTCAAAAAAATTAGAACCCCCAAATCAAAGACTCAATCAAAACTGGGGAATTGAAGGGCTGGGGATGTAACTCAGTGGTGCCACGCTTGCCTGGTAAGCACTAGGTCCTGAGTTCGATCCCCCATACCAAAAACAGAACAAAACAACAACAATAACAAAATGGACAACTGAAATGAACAGATACTTCTCAGAAGTACAAATGGCCAATACATGAAAAAAATGTTCAGTGGCCATTAAAGAAATGCAAATTGAAACAACCCTGAGATTCCTCATCTTATTCCAGAAAGAATGGCTTTCAACAAGAAATTAAATAATAACAAATGCTAGTGAGGTTATAGGGTAAAAGGAAACCTTCTACATTGTTGGTGGGAATGTAAGCTAGTACAACTACTATGGAAATCAATGTGGCAATTTCCCCAAAAACTAAAAATAGAAATTCCATTTAAGCCAACTATTCATCCCCCTCATAGGTACCATCCCCAAAGAGTTAAAAGACAGTGATACATGCATATCCATGTTATAGCAGCACAATTCACAACAGCTAAATCTTGGAAGCAGTCTTTATGTCCATCAGCAGATGAATGGATAAAGAAAATGTGGTATTTATATACAACGAAGTACTATTCTACTATAAATAGGGATAAACTTGAGTCATTTGTAGAAAAATAAATGCACCTTGAATCTGTAACGTTAAGTAAAATAAACTAGATGCACAAGCTTAAATATCCTATGGTTTCCCTTATATGAGAAACCCAGAGTATAAATAAATTAAAGAGCAATATGAAAGACATGTGATGGAAAACAAGGAGGCAGACCTTTTGCAAATGGAAAGGGGGCCAGGAGACAGAGGGAAGGAGGATGGAAGAGGGGAAGCAGACATAAAAAGAATTTAGATACGCCATGGATATGCACCGGCTACCCACAACGAATATATTCATTACTTACTACAAATATGCACTCATAAAAATTCAGTCAATAAACAGAACCAGCAAAATTGCAGGACATAAGATCAAATGAGAGTTGCATTTGTAAATTAGCAATGAACAAACTGAAAATGAAATTAAGAAAATAACTCAACTAAAAATACAACACATATAATAAAAGTACCCAAGGAGGTATAACACTTGCACGCTGAAAACTACAAAACATTGCTGAAAGAAATTTAAAGACCCCAAAAATAAAAAGCAGGAACTGGAAGGCATAATACTGTTAAGATGGCAGTAGTACCCAAACTGAGCTACAGGCCAACAGAAGCATTATTAAATTTCCAACAGCCTTTTTGAAGAAAAAGAGAAGCTCATGCTAGAATTCTTATGCAACTGCAAGCAATCCTCAAAAGGCTAAACAGCCCTGACAAAGAACAAATCTGAAAGACTCACAATCCCCTGCACACATACATACTTTAAAACTTAGTATTCAGCTATGGTTATCTAAACAATGTGGTACAGTGTAAGGACAGACATAGATAAATGGAATAAAACAGAGTCCAGAAATAAACTCATACATATATGTCAACTGATTTCTGACAAGAGTATTAGGACCATTCAACAGGAAAACAGATCTCCTAATTAGGCCTAAGAGGGGCTAAGACACACCACCAACACTAGCTGATGGTGATTATGCTACAAATACTAACCAGTCTCCCTTACTTGCCATTACTAGTTTCAAGTGCTAGATTTTCATAGTGTCTCATTTTATGCCACTAATAGTAACTAGCAGAATTTCTCAGCTTCTAAACAATTTAATCCTGTCAGGTATATTTCTTGAGCACTCTGGTAATGGGCCAAAGGGACTTATTAACGAAACATTTTTTGTCTGGAGTCTCTCCTTGTTAACAGTGTCCGACAGATGATCAATAAACCAGCCTGTTTGGAAACGCCAATCTGGATATTCCCAGGACAGAGCAACTGGATTATTAGTGTGGCTAATGAATCCTGCAATGGGACATTTTCCACCACATACTGGGCCAAGGCACAGCAGATTGGCTGTCGGTCCTCGACAGATAAAAATAGATCGGGAAAGTGTTTTTAAGCTGGTGTGCAGCTGTGCCTCCTGTACTATATATATATATACACACACACACATACACAAACACACACACACACACACACACACATATATGTTCTCCATAGTCTGTGGGGACCCAATTACAGTGGATGGCTTCTCTATCCACACACCTGCCGCATTGGACACCATTCAGTGGGAAGTGTCTGCACACCCAGACAAGATATTTCTCACTTCATACACTAACTGTGAGCCTGAAGGACTCTGCACAAATGAAACTTTGCAATTTGAATTCTTGTTCCACATTCACAGTACCAGACTGGAAATGTTCCTTCTAAGATTAAATATACTAATTTATTGATCCTATACAACAACAGCCTCCCTCTATTGTCTTGTCTCATCCTAGGTGTTATATTTATATTCTCTGACTTAATCTGCATATTTGTCATCATTTTTCAGGTAAGCAAAGTGAAGTTTGGAGAAAGACATCATTTGCTTCAAGTATTTCGGCTGACAGATGCCTGAGCTAGGTTCATCCCACACTTGTCTGATGACAAGCTCGCTTTTTTATGCCACTGGCTATTTCTACCTTCATTCATTCACTTGCCAACCAGGTACTGGAGGAGCATCTACAACAGGGCCCTGGCTAGGGAGTTCAAAGACACAATCTGACCTGGGGAAATCTGCAACTGCACAACTACTGTGACTTCAGGGTACCCGCAAAACAGAGAGCAGGGCTCACAGTATCAGAGAATGCATCAGCATCAGCAGGTGCCAGCTGCCCTTACCATCTCCGGTCCTGCTAGGGTTGAGGGGTTCAGGAGTACTCAGAGGCCTCAGGGGGATGATGATGTCATCCACATTAACTCCTCCATCCCTGTGCTTCTCAGAGACGTGGGAAAGCAGTTCCGACTGGTTTGGCGAGAAAAGGTTACAACGTTTACACATGAAAATGGCTGTGTTTTCTGTAAGGAAAGAAAGGAAAATATTTTATTCCACTTTCACATCAACAGTGATTACTCCCATTAGCAAAGGAAACACCGAGGGCTGCCGTTTTCTCGCAGTTGCCAGCCTCTAGCAGGCTGTGTCCCTCTTGTGGACACCTCAGGCGCCCCTGGGTGCCAGATAACCCTTCCTTGGGTATTTCAAAGTGTCTGTCCTTCTAGACAGTGAGGGTCTAGCATGGGCCTCCCTCTGACCCAACCTACTCCAGAGCTCAGACCCCAGCAGAGCAGCACCAGGCACCTGAACTAAGTCCTGCCCTAACACAGGGAGCCACTCACTGGGTATATGCAGTCATACACCCAGCTAGACTGCCTCGCAAACCAGGTGCATGGAAACACTAAACAGAACAGCATTTCTCAAGAGCCAACACACCTTTAACTGACCGACACAATAACTACAAAGAAAACAAAGATAGGAACCTGTTGCTTTTTTTAAGCCACTCAATTCCTATTTAAGCATTATCGCTGTTCACAAAATTTACTAACAGTCCATTATGTTCCTTCCATTATATTAAGCAGGAAGACATAATGAGAGCAAAAACATTCATTTTTCCTTCTATTCTTTCTTTCTTTTGGTACCGGGGATCAAACTCAGGTCCTTGGGCTTTCAAGGCAGGCGCCGGAATCACTGAGCTAAATCCCCAGCCCCCCAAAAACACTCATTTTTGAACCTAATGAAACACTTACAGGCACACAGGATCCCAAAAAAAGCCAGGTGTTTTGGTTATTATTTTTACATTTCCACTGAAAGGATGAACTGGTGTGAGGGAAAGGACTATGGCTTCGAAGTCAGATATACAGGTTAAATTCCCAACTCCTGCCCCTAAATGCCATAAAGCTGGGTGACCTTGGGGAGGCTGGAGTGGTCTCTAGGTCACAGGAGTTGAACGGGAAGAGGAGGTTATGAGCCTCCTCAGCAGCAGGAACTGTCGCTGGTCCAGCCCATCTTGGTCCACCTTGTTTGTGCCCACAGCCATGCAGAGCCACCAGAAACCCACACCACGCTGCCTGGCTCCCCTCTCCTGTGGCCTCAGGGGACTCAGCAGGTGCAGAAATCCCACAGGACTGCTCCATTTGCTCTCCATCAGGCTGGACAGGCACCCTATGGAGCTCTGTGTGGGTCAGCAAGCCTCTCATGCCACCTGCTTCCCACCTGCAGCAATGTCCCCTCCACACCCGACACCCACCTGCTTCCTGCTCCTGCTGATAGAGGGAGCGTAGGGCAGGCGTCTACCCCAGGGCAGGGTCTTTTCATCACTGACAATGTCCAGAACTGCTGGCTCACGGAGATAAAAACCTAAGCACCGCTGATTTGGTGTGACTGTCGCCCCTAAGTTCTCCACAGATAACACAGCCCTCCTTGCTCCCACAGTGGGCCTTCTCAGAAGGCCGCTGGGCACCAGCTACGTGTGCAGGACCCGATCCTCTCACGCACTCGACAACACCACTTTGGTCCCTTCCACCTCCCTCTCTGCTGGATCTTCCCCACCAGCTGGCAAACATGCTCTCAATCCTCCCACCCTACAACAAAGATCTCTCTCATCCCATCCGCACTCCCTCACTCTGCCCTCCCCACTTTTCTCCTTCTCCTCATAGCCAAACTCCCCGCCAGAAAGAGAAGGGGTGGAGAAGGGAGCCCCACGGCACTGGGGTCCCCAGAGCGGCCCCCTTCCTGGACCCACAGAAGGGGCTTCATCATGAGCAGGCAGAGAGGGGTAATGACCTCAGAGAGCTCTTTCCTACCAAACAACACACAAAATGGGAATTTAACAAAGCACAACATGGTTGCGTCAATGAAACTCTCATGAACACTGTCAATCAATATTTTTTCCTAGAATGCTTTAACCCAAAGGAATCCAAAATGCTTCCCAAACAAGATGAGTTTTCAGCAATACTCTTTTCTTCATAGGAGGTTGTTTACAACACCATTCCTACATCAATCCCATGATAGCAGAAAAGGCTCTGTAATTTCCCAGCCCACAGGTGACAAACTGGGGCTGGGACAGGAGAAGCAACTTCCCCAGTCACAGTGGGCAGGAAGCAGGGGCTGGACGCTGTCACCTGGCTTTTCACACAGATATGGCTACAGACCACAAGCCTGCTGAGTTCTCCAAGTCAGAGCTAAAATACTTAGGTCTGCACCCCGGAATGTCAAAAGGAAACTGGTTAACACAGAAGAGCACCATTCCTAACTCACATATCAACCTCGTGCCTGGTCCCTCACGCACCCCACCCTAGCCCTGGGGACACAGGGATGAATCAAGGGCCCGGCCACCAGGAGAAAGCCAACATTTCACCAGGAAGACAAACACGTCAGGGAACATCACAGAATAACTGCATCTGTGGTCTGTAATTTCCCAATTGGTCTCCAAGTATTCTTGGTTCCTCAAATGCACTCAGAAGAGAACCCAGGGCCATTTAACACAGAACTTCTGAGGAACCACAAAGTTATTACAAGCGGTCTCCTAGTTGAAAGGCACCCCACACATCACCTGGACAAACAAATGCAACCACTTTTGCATCTATATATGACAAAGTGCCAGAGACTGCTGTGAACAAGCTAGCACCCAGTTCCACTAGAGCCTAAAGCCTTGGCACCCCAGGTAGCACCTGACCTGGGCCACCTGTTGTCACTTAGCATGAGTATCCCCAGTGCCCACTTCGAGCACAGCTCTGTCGGGCAGAGGACAGGGCCTGAAGTTCCAAGGTGGAGGCAGAGATGAGCACTCAGACCCAAGAGGACTCACACAACTGCAGCCATCCATTGTGGCCCTGAGATGAGGTGCAGTACAGAAGGCCTGCAAAGGGAGAGGCCACCAGGGGCAGAAGAGACTTCTTGGCCAGGGGATGGCTGAAGTTCAGAGCTGCAGGAAAGCAGGCCATGTGCAGACACAGTGAAACCTCAGACAAGCGACGTGGCAATAGGAAGGTGGGCACAGGGTAAACGAGCAGATCTGTGACCCACACAGAGCCTGTGTGTACAGGTACAGAGCTGCTAGGGCCAACACACCCAATGCAGCAGGGACCGGCAGCTCCTTTGGGAGCCAGAAGCTCACGAGCAAAGACAAGAAGCAACTATGGCTAGAAGGTCCAGCAGAGGTGGCCTCGTGCTACGTGCCCACCACGAGGCCCCCACACCTGAGCTGCATCAGCTGTCTGCACACCTGCCCCCATGAGCCCCACACAGCTCCATCCCACCAGACCCTCAAGAATGCACAGACCTCAGTAGACTGAAAAACAGCACATGGCCTGGGCTGAAGCGATGCAGGACAGAGGAGCACACTGGTACCTTGGGTGAAACTGTGATGGAGGAGGCCTATCCCATGCTTAGAACAGACAAGATGACCCAAGGTGCAGTTCTATAGGAAAGGAGTCAGGCCAAGCAGCCAGGAGGCCACCCCGACCAGACGTGGGCAGCACAGAGGGGAGAGGAGGAAGCTGGTGGGCTCTGCTTTGCTCCTGACACCCTTTTGTCTCTAAAAGCGGCATGTCCCAGAAGCCTAAGGCCGTGTCCATGGTGTACCCTCCTGAACACAAGGCCTCAGACATGGAGGGTGACTGTGTGCTCCTTGAGGATGTTCTGAAAGCAGCATGCAAACAGCCAAATGCCAGGCACACAAAGAGGGCGCCAGGTCACACCACGTCCCCCGAAGAGGAAGAACTGTTCATCCACCAGAACAACAACATAGAAGCCACTTTCACGTTTATAGTGACTAATATGAAGAATGCATCTGTACCCTGAAATATATTTATAATTATGTTGTCAGCCAATTCTGACGAAGATGCTATAATTTGGATACGTTTTTAGGTCCAATTACTGTGCTCTCATCCTTAACAAAAGAATTCAAAGGGAAATGATGTATCGGCACAAGAAGAATCATGAAAGTGTGGGGTCTGAGCATACAATTCCTACAAATTACCTGCCTGTTTTTAAGCAGCTAGTCTATACTATTCAAAAGGAAAACCAAGAGACAACTATATAAACAAAGCCCCACTTCTGACCTCTGGTCCGCAGAACAACCAGGTCCTATCTGGACCTCAAGCCTCCCTCCCTGCCCAGGGGGCCCAGGAAGAAATGAGGGCTCTGCTCCCAGCCCTCCTTGAAGACAGCTCTGAGCTGGCACCGAGTCTGTGGGTGCCAGCAGGGTGACTGGCCCCTCCGGCTCCAGGAGGTCCCTGGGAGTGGCAGGGCCTGAGCACAGGTGCCTGGTGCTTGGCCATAGAAGCAGAAGTGGTCAGCTAGGGCTGGCCTGCTCCCCTATCCCAGGCGCTCCAGCAGAGGGGAACGGGGGTCAGTCCAGCTGGGAGCTGAAGTCACAGGTTCCAGCTAAGGTGAGGACCCTTCTGGCACCAGCTGCCGACCACAGCATCCTCTTCCTCCTGATGTTGCTGCTGCCAAGGCCCTCCGCTGTGGGTCTGGGGTGGGAGAATGGAATGGAACAAGACAGGGTTCCGGCATCAGAGGTCTCTCAGCACTTATGCCAACCTTGATTGCTACTGCTATTATTTACTGCAAAAGTCGCATGTGAGTGCACACTTGCTGTAAAATAGTCAAATCCCAAGTTACAGCTGAAACAGACAGCACTGCGTCATCCCCCAGGACTGGGAGCATCACACAAGAGTTTACTGTGCACCTTCTGGAATTCTCCCTGCGCCTGAAAGGCATAGCCACAGAGAGACAGAAAGATGCAGAGGTGACAATATCATGGAAACCTCATGTAAACTTCTCCCTAGCTCTCTGGGGTCCCCCAGTGCCCTGCACCCCCATGCTCCCTCTGCTGCCCAGCCACCGGCTGGGCTCAGCATAGAAGGAAGACACAGGAGGCATCTGGTGCCACTAACACAGGAGGTCTCGGAGGTCTGAGTAAAAACACAAAATACTCTTTCTTACGGAGACATCACTAGAAATGGTGTCCATGCCTGAGCAATCGCCTGGAAACTGCCCAGGACAAGGAGGTCAG